ACAGGTGCATGTGGAGTGTGTATTCTGGTAATAGAAACGTTAGATTTATCAAACACATCACCACAAATAACATCTGAATCATCAAACTTTGACACAGAGTCATCACAGACCAAACCATCAGTCTTAGCATTAGAAATAAAAATATCATTTTTTAAAACAGAAACATCAGATGTGGAAACACTATTATTATTAGAAACACAATCTTCAGAATCCTGCTTGCCTTGACTTAATGGTGTATCTACATAGGAAGTAGAAATGCTGTTATCCTTTTCCCTAGCACTACTCTCCGACACATGTACAGTAGGTTTTCCAAACACAAGATATTCCTCTCTGTCCATCTCTTCCTAGGTCATAGGGCCAGAAGTGTAATTGTGATAAAAATAAGGAGGGACACTCTCATACCCTAGACCTATCTGTTTCTTGTCTTGCTATTTCATTTGTTTCTTTATCATGGTTGCAACTTTCTCACTTGACACATCAAACTTTTTGAAATTAAAATCAGCATTTTCAAATAAAAATTTTAATGTGTCAAGCTTGTCAGTCACAGTGGTTTGTTGTTTCTTGATGAAATTATAGTTTTCACATTTGTTGTTATACTCTTCCTGTAATTTCCTAAAATCCTTAGTTTTGGCCTCTAATTGTTCTTTTAGTGGTCTTTGGCCCTTCCTAAGGTTGTATCCCTCGTATTTTAGGTTCTCGTTTTCTATACGCAATAATTCTATTTGTTCAAGTAAAAATCTAACAGTATCATTGCATGTTTGAGAACAGGAAGATTGACTGACCTCATTCTTCTCAGGCTCAAGGGTAGTGGATACCATGAATGCAAACTACAACTCCATCATCTCTTCTTTAGGATCCTCTTCAACTTTCTTCCCAGGGATGTCACTGATTTGGGTCAAATGAGCATTTTTAGGTCCTGAAATGTTTAAGGCCTGAATTTGATCTTCCTAATCAAATGACTGAGCTACCACCGCCAAATTTGCAGATATGTTGCAAGCAACAGCTCCCATGTTGTTTCCCACCGGCACTATTGTCCTTTCATGATTCATTCTTTTATCAGATTTCAGATAGTCATGAGCAAAGTGACCAGGCTCATGACAATTAAAGAACCTCAATTTTCCTTTGTTGAATCCAACTTTCTTCTCTGCATTCATCCCCCAATTATTCTTTCTAGTTTTCTTTTCAAATTGCTTGGCCCTAAACACTGCCACTGAGGTTTGCCATGTAATGTCCATTTCTTCAATATCCTCTAGGTGAATCTGATCAAGATTAGCAAAAGAAATCCGAGGAGGCAATTCTCCAGCTACAAAGGCATTATAGCAGTTCACCAAGACAGAGGCTAGGGCCATGTTCTCGTCGGCTTCTTTGGGAGCAAAGGTGATAACATGAGCTTTTGAGGAGGAGGCTGCATGTGGATAAGGCATAGATGGAGGAACAACTTGGGACTGTGGTTGTGGAACAACAAAAACTTGATTTTGTGGATTAGTAAAGGATTAAAAGGCATTGTTTGATGAAATCCCAAGATTTACAGTTGAATAGGAGTTCACATGCCCTTTGCTTGTCATCAAGATCACGGGCTTTAATGATTGCCATTGTTTCTGCAAGACTGAGTCAGCTGAGATCCTTAGTCTTCTTGATAACTAAGACACTCATGTCCCATAACTTAGGGAGAGAGTTAAGTAGCTTCTTGTTAATCTCTGATTTTGGCACTGAAATTCTGGCAGAACTCATTTCAGTAGTAAGAGTAATAAATTGTTGTAGTTGAGCTTCCAATGATTCTCCCAGAATATGATTAAACATGTTGAACTTCTGTTTGAGCATGTCTTGACGGCTTTGCTTCATATCTTCATTTACCTCGTAAACTTCAATTAATGCTTCCCATAGAGCTTTGGCTTAGTCATACTCATGGAATCCTTGTGCAATTTTCGGAGACAATGTCATTGTCAATGTTGCAAGAGCCTTCTCTTGTTCCTCGATTTTCTTGAAATCCTCATCTGTGTAATTTGCAAATTATTTGTCAACAATGATTCCATTTTCAAGAGTGGCAGTGATTCTAACTGTGCCCTTTAGAATGTTATGTTGAAATCCTTCATCTTGAAGTATTTCTCCATTATGTATTTCCACTTCGGAAATCCTTCAGTTGACAGAAGATGTGGGATTCTAGTAGTAGTTCTCATAATCGAGTCCAACTCCTGATAAACTGTCAAGTTTTTCTGATTCCATTTTGTTTTTGTTTTTTTTTTTCTTAAATGACTGAAAATAAAACTTGTAAAGAAAGTACAACCGAAAACAGAAATAGTTCACAGCTAAGAACAGGGTTTACGACCCAAAGGTGTTTACGGCCAAAAGCAGTTTATGGTCATACGCATATTTTACAGTTGAGAACAGTTTACGGTTGAGAACAGTTTACGGTCAAGGTGTTTCACCATCGAAAATAATTTGTTGTCAGTTCAAAATGGTTTACAGCTGAAAACGTAGTGGGTATCCGGCCGAACACGAGTTTACGGTCGCACACTGATGAAAAGTTATAGCCGAAAACACCCAAAAATTGATGAAAACATTTGATTTCAAGCAGATCTTCAATCCCCTTGGCCTTGAAATCATGATTAACAGCAGAAACTTAGTAGGAAATCTTGAAAATCATGAATATGAGGAATACTCCAACCGAAAACGCAACTTGAACAAGTTTGACACTAGATTGACTTTGATCCCAATTGTAAGTCCCCAAATCTGGAACCAACTAGTGATCAAACACAAGCACAAGATGCAATCAATGAGAGTAAGAAGGAGTAAAAGCAAGAATGATCCAAATTGCACACGTTTGTATTGAGCCGTAAATGTCAGGTACAATGGAACACACACATAAAGTCGTTAACCACTTTGACAAGACTGACACACTTATATAGGGAACAGTGAACAGCAAACAGGTTCACGGCCACAAACACCACTTTAACTAAAAACATGTTTTCGGTTCACTCAACTGTAAACACCCTAAATACACAAACAAACACTAACAAGACCTATACAGATGGATGCCTATCCCAAACCAACAAAATATGACCTAACACAACTTGATTCTACTTTGATGATATTTGATCAATTTGCTGAAATTATTCGAGGTACTAAAAGGTCTCCTCATGTTTCAAATCGTAGATGGTTAGAACTCATCCTACAACATATTGGTACTGGTTATGATGATGATCAAGTTGAAGATTGGATTCACTCCTTCACTTCCTCCAACTATTCTAACAAGAAATTAATGATAAGTGAAGCATTACAAAGAATATGCAGAAGTGGATTCACGCTCTATAAGAGTGTGAAAGAATGCCATATGTGACTCCTGATGTCATATCAACAGATGAAATAATGGGGGATGAAACTCACTCAGTGCCAAATCATCAAACTGAATAAGATTCACAAGCAGACACTAAGCGTATCTCTCGGTCTAATGAAAATGTTGACACTATCAAAGAGAACTTAGACGCTAGAAATAATTACAATATTTAGGATACGGAAATCGTTCCTGTCTATCCACGTCAAGCCAATTAAGCAAACTTACAGGTTTTCAAGGAAGCTGGATCAGTTCAACCAAACAAACATATTTGATTTGAGTATTCTTCATCTGCTGAAGAAGAAGAAGAAGAAGAAGATTTTGTTTTCGAAACATGTCTAACTCATCTACCTATTCAACAAGGTAATGATGATGACGTTGAATACATCTTAGAGACTCCTTCACATGATCAATGTTTTATATCTCTTTCTTGTGCTTCTTCTTATGCTCGAACTTCCTTATTTCTCTCTCCTAAAGGCCTCAAGTTCAACATGTCTCTAATTCCCCTATTCAGCCTGAACAACATCCGATCATTCAACAAATTCCTCCTACTATTTAAGAGGAGCAAGCAACCGTTCAAGGGGATCCACTTTTAATAAGTCCTTTTCTTGTTGACTTCAATGCTTTTCAAGTGAAGATTCTTTCTACATTAGAGTCAACTATTCATATCACCTCAAATTTAAATCAACAACTGATCATAATTGAGACTAATGTCACTGACATCAAGCATATAGTCATTGCCATTGATACAAAAACTAATCATGATGACAGTAAATCTCATCCTGAGGATGACCATTAACCACCTCCTGGTTCTAAAGGTGTTCCGTCATCCATCATTGATCACACAATTTTTTTTCACATCCTTATTTTTATTTATTTATTTATTTTTCTTCTCATTTTATGGATATCATGTTTTTGTAGCTATCTCTTGGCTAAGGAATCAACAAACACTATCCTATTTTAAATTTCACATCATTATCAGGTTCTTAGTGTTTATTTGATATTCAAGGGATATATCTATAGTTTTCTTTTTATCCAAACTTATTTTGAAAATATCATTTTTGATAAAAAAAAATGTTTTTTATATGGTACAAGTCTTTTAAGATCAAGACTTAACTACTTTGTTTTATCATAACACTCTTATTCAACACTTGATTATCAAAGCTTTTTTATTTATTTTTTCGTTTTTTGAAAAAAGATCAAGTATTTCACTCTTATTCAACACTTGATTGGTCAAATGATGACTTAGTCATGATGACATGTCAACACCTGATTGGTCAATCCATGTCATGGGATTTTCCAAAGCCTATAAATAGGCCCCTTAGGATCCATTATAAAGTTTCTCTTCCTTGCTCATTTCAGATCATTTTGCACAATTGTTGTTTAGATTAGTCTTTAGAGAGCCATTTGAGTGTTTTAGCTTGTCTATAATTCAAACACTTGTAACTGAATCTTGATGAATATGAGACACTTTTGAATCATTAATCTTGAACATATAAAAAATGTTTTTATCTTTAACTTTGTGATTCACAAATCTTTATTTTCCGCATTACTTGCCACTTGACGATTCTGAAACTATGTTTCAGTATTTTCAACACTTGGACTACTCTAGTCTAGGTTTACTGAATTAGATGGTGAACATGATGTCTACTGTATTGTGCTTTCCTTCATGGATGTGAAACATCTTCACGCAATAGACACTGAAACCTACAATGCTGATATTAAGGGGGAGAAACATATCCCTCAAGGGGAACCAAGTGGAGTTGAATCAGATGATGATGTTCCCCTGATCAAGAAAAGGAAGGAAACAGTTGATTATAGTTTTGGTATTGGTCCATCTAAGAAGAAACACAAACAGATTATTGTGTCTGAAATGGTAAGTGTATGGGGTGTGTCCATTGAAGTGGCTAAGGAGTTTTCCTGGAAACACAACATTCAAACTACAAATCGGTTGATTGCCAGAAAACACTTAAAAAGGATTCAAAAAATTATGTCTACCTCTACTTCATTACCTAATCAAATTGAACATCTAAACAAGTTTAACAAGTTGATGACAAAGGAAAAAGAGATGAAAGAAAATGCAATTACTATGGATGAAAGGAGCAGGTTTGGTGATGTGCTAACAAGAAGAAAGGATCCTAACCCAATAATCAAGGTTAGAAGCACTAAGCCTAAAAACAAAAAGATGCTTACATTGCATATTACCAGGCGAGGTGATCAGGGTCTTACTGCGGTCCAATATACTGAAGTCTTATTTGTCCAAGATCTGCTGAAACTTAGATACGAGTGGTTGTAGCTTGTAGAATTGGTCAACAAACAAAAGGGTAAATATGTTGGGGAATTGAGGCTTGTTCAATAACGTCTCACCATAAAAGTTAAAGACCTTGATTTAGTACTAAAGTCATCAAACAATCCATCCTCATCCTCAACACCTGCTACAATTCATAGAAGATGTTCTTTCAATGGAGTTAGATTTCTACTTCCTCTTAGAACCAAGGTTATTAACAACTTCCTTCCAATAGATGTTCATATTATTCAATGTATGTTCATTGTTTACCCTGAGCATGGAATCTTTTACATGGATGAATCGCAAAACATGTGCTTTCAACGTTAAATATACCTAATACTCCCACTGAGCATCTTGTCCAGATAAGGTTTGACTGTTTGGGTCACCCAAATCTTAAAAGAAACTATCATTTTTTGATTTCTCTTGAACTGAACAAAAGAAAGGAAGAGCTCGCTATCTCAGGTTATTTTTGGATAGAGAGAGAAGTTGAAGAAGATGTTAATGAGTTTTACCGTCGTTTAGAAGAATAGGGTTTCGGGTTTTGACATCATCAATTGGGGGAGACTTTAAGGACACTTAGAATCTGATAATGCAAAACCTTCACGTTGACTCTCATCAGCGCCAACGTCTCTCACCAGCAATAATGTGAAGTCAAGTCTATAATGTTGTTGCAGCATGTAAACTTCATGAATTTAATCTATTGTATATATAGATAGATACATAGGTTGTTGGCAAAATCGATATTGTAACACTCGTAGATTCGAGCTAGTCAATTAAGATATAATAAGCATTAAAATAAGTTTTTGATAGAATATTATTTAGGATAAATACTCTTAACCAATATAAAGAATTTTGAAATCCGACTTCGTATGGAGAAGTTATGCTTTTTCGAAGTTTCGCGATTAAACGGGCACGACTCTATATATCGTAAAAAGTGAATTTAGGATAAATTGATTTTAGCCTATGTGATCTAAGCGAAAGTCGTAGTAGTCATTAAAACGAGAGTGTACATACAAAGAATGTCCAAATTTGACTTCGTGGGAGAAAAATATGATTTTTCAAAGTTTCAACGCAATAGTACGAACACAGAAATTGAAATTCACCCCGGTTGATGGTTAGCCGAAACAATCTAAAAGAGAATTTAAGATGTCGTGAATATGAAGCCATCGATATAAATACAGTCGGTAACGGAGCTCGTATGAATAAGTTATGAATTTCACATGGACTGTAACAGTCTAAGACGGTCTCAATATCAAATTTTTTTAGAGGAAGAATTAGATGTTGAGACATTAATGAAAGTTGTAGATCTCATGGAGAGGATTCTGGAGATATAAAAAACGTCAAAAATGGAGATCGTATGCAAAAGTTATGGCTATCTGAAGATTTCATGAAAATACCTGATGCGATGATGTGGCAGCACCAGAGTTCGCCACGTGGAAGAAGAGGCGTCAACTCTCCATCGACGACAAGGCAACGTGGCCCAAGGAAAAACGTGACACGTGGCACCATAATATGGTGAAACATGGCACCTTCTAGAAGAGTGGAAGGTGGCTAAATCGGGCATCGACACGTGGCAGGGAGTGGGAGGAGCCAACATGGCCCTGATGCGCGGCGTAACCTAATGCCATGCATAATGCGCTTGCTGAAGGCTATATATACTCCTTCCGAATATCTTCATTTTCACACCAAATTCATCCTTTCTCTCTGAGCTACTATCTCTTCTTGAGTTCGGGTTTTTTAGGTTCCTAGGTGTATTTAGTAAGGTTTTGAGGGGTCGAGGTGTCTGGAAAGTAGGAGCTTTTGGTTTCGGGATTCTATTTGCGTAATTTTTCTGGTATTTGCTAAAACCTATATCACATCAGAGGAAAACATAAACCACCAAGGCGAAGTTCTGCCCAAATTCTGAGGCATCCACTATTATCGACTAGCGATACAAAGGTACATGCATGACGAGAGATTCAAGGAGATGTAAAGTATTAGTCTAAGACATTGAAAGACCTGTTTATGCTTATGTTATGTATCCGTTATGATATCCAAAGTTTTAATGAATTAATGGAAAATTTTCTTTGAAAATACTTTTTACGGGACAAATTCTGCATTTATAAAAAAATTATGTTTTAAATGTGCATCAATAGAAAGTTTTAAAATGGTCGTGAAAATGGAGATGTGTAACACCATAATTTTTCAAACATTTTTTTTGAAAATTAAAATAGTTTATCTCTTTAACGCTTTTCATAAAAATCCCATTTGTTTAATTTACAATACATAACTCTTTTTCTCAATCAATTAATAAAGCAGGATCCTCAAACAAACGCTTCCCCCGGTGTGTACAATTGAGTCGGTGCCGTCCCATGAACCTGAGAAACCTAAAACACATAACACAAAACATTGTAAGCACGAAGCTTAGTGAGTTCCCAAAAATACCACTCTAACACATATTAGCCACTCAAGGCTATAACTATGTTGACCCTCTGGTCTGTGTGTCTCAGTGGAACCCTCCAGTCCCAACTCTCTGTGGACCCTCTCATCCTAACTCTATGGACCCAAAGGTCCTAACTCTGATAACTTAGAATCATGCATATCACATATCACAATAAATCTCATAAAATAAATAGCATACAATTACACTGGCACATAACTCTAAACCTAACTTTGTAGATCCTCTGGTCCTAGCTCTGTGGACCTTCCAGTCCTAACTCTGATATACACACAGCATAAATCACATACAAATAATGTAGTGCCACACATAGCATAGATAGCATACAATAACTCTGTCACATAACTCTATTACCACTCTAGGTAAATTATAATGATAAGACTCACCTGCTACTGCTGACTGAAGAACCAGATCACGCTGCTCCAACCACCGTCACGAACTCCACCACTGAATCACCGAAACCAATAAATACTAATAACAACCAAAATACCCCTGGAAGTCAACTGGTCAACTCTTGGTCAAAGTCAAAGTCCTCAGTCAAAGCCAACCCTCCTGACTGACTCTACTCGCTGAGTCAACCCGCTGACTCGTCGAGTCCCCATGCTCTAAAACTCCCATAACACGACTCAACTCGTCGAGTCGCCCCAAGACTCGCCGAGTCCCACAACTCTGAGTCAAACCGTACTCAACTCACTGAGTCATCCCTTGACTCACCGATTCTCAGCTTAACCAGAAAAGGATAGCACCTCAAGACCAGACTCGTCGAGTCCAAGAACAAACTCGCCGAGTCCAAGGCTATCTTCAACCAACTCACCGAGTTGTTCTTCCAACTCGCCGAGTTTCTTCCTATCTTCATGCAACTCGCCGAGTACACCCATGTGACTCGCCGAGTACCATTAGCTCTTAACCCATACAGAGGCTTTCCAAGCCATGCAGGGTCTCCAATCCATAGATCTACTCTTACACAAGCCATCCATCAAGTAAAGTGGCAAACTTTACGTGAATCCAAGGACATCTAAGCATAATACACTCTTGAGCTAAGGTTTGGGGCTAAAAGACTTCATCAACAGTTCTTGAACAGAGACTTTATGCTCTTTTGGATCATCACTATTCTAGATCTGAGGTAGCAACCTCAAATATAACCTCCAAACTCAATATATCACTACATATACACCCAAAATCCCACAAATGATAGATCTAGATGGATAACAGCTCAAGCAACGAATCATTACCTCAAAACAAGGCTCCAACAGATGAATAAGTCAAAACCTTGAAAAGACCCTTGCTCCAAGCCTCTTAATCTTCAAAGATCTCTTCAACAAACACTCCTTCAAGATCCAAATGTTCTCTAATTGTCTCACAACAAATATTAGGGTTTCTTGACTTCAAGTGTGACACCCAATTTTTTTTTTTTTTGCAAAAATTTTAAACTTTTAAAACGCATCTTAAATTAAATTAAAACAACTGAAATAGTCATAACATAATGCATCAACTTAATAATCATATAAAATAAGTGCGGAAGTAATAATAATAATAAGGTCCCAACAAAATAACTAGTAGCGATGTCCCGATGCTCCATGTCAAGCCTTAGCCTCTTTAATCTTAACACCTGAAAAGTTATAAGGGAAAAACGTAAGCACGAAGCTTAGTGAATTCAAACACAGACATTGTACTAACATTCATATTTACTAGCCCTGATCCATTTTCCAATTATAATGATAAAGGTAAAGAACGAATCAATGTCTATATTACGAGAAGGACTTGTAGGTTTGAACCGCACCGGGAAGATCCCGTATCATTTGGCCCTAATCACCGCACCTCACGAAGAGTATTACGTTGGTGATCTTACCTACCCACCGCAGCGGTAAATCCATATCCTTTGGTGGTGTCCCCATATCCATAATTAGTTACATACAGTGCACATGTACTAATTAAAATAATACTTATATAGTATGCTTTTATAATAAATTCAAATAATCACACACGAGCTAACTAGCAAACACAATCATCAATACAACGGTGTGAGAGAACTCACCTTGAGTGAGTATTAAGGATGGATAACAATTAAATAATGCTACCAAGCTTGAGCAAACTTCAAAACCTCACCTAAGAAGGACTAAAGGTTAGAATGGAGAAGTAATGAAGCTATGAGTTGAGAAAAGAGTGATCACAGCAAGGTCTCTAAAACAGACCTGCTGTTCAAAACGGATTTACTCCAAAATCTAAAACAGAAACATAGCTTTAACTAAATTGTATAGGAAACTATGATTGCTTAGGATTCCACAAATATAAAGAACTCATTCTAACTCCAAAAGATGAATTAAATATGAATTTTACAAAATGGTGTATCACTTCTGTCTCCAACAATATAGTCAAGTGATGCTGGCCAATTCTACCCAACTTGTGAGTAGAATTCGTCCAAAACAAAATTAAGAGAATCAAAGGACATATAAGTGAAAGTCTAAGAGTTGTAATTGAATGAAAAGCATCTCTCAAACTCCAGATATAAAATTCACATTGTGGACAATCACAGCACTAGAAAAAGCTGGTGACTGCCCACTGACCTGGAGTG